AGGTCTCTGAATCTTCTGAAGATTCGGAAAGCTTTGAATTGATTCAGACCTTTTAATTGGTCCCCTGATTCAATTCAGATTCAGAGATTTGGGCACCGCATAGGACCAGATCTCCTCTGAATTGAATCACCACCTGAAGCTTCACACAGGCCTATTAATTAGAAGCTTGAGATTTTATTGTTTTACACAGACTTGCTTATACAATTTTTATTTCAAGTGTTTCCTCCTGCAGGAGCAAAGGGAGAGAGTATTATTTAAAGACCCAGCACCAAGGGTAAAATGCAGTGGAGAAAATGCTGAGCCTTCCATTCCAGTTACAGGCCTTTATCACCTGAGATAGAGCTGTAACATGGTTAGCTGGTAAATAGTAGTAAAATGTTATCCTCTGTATTAACAGTCACTGAAGCAGACAAGATGCAATTAGACAGCAGGTAATATAGGTTATCTGCAGCCCTAGAGGTCGTCATTTAACTACTGAACTTGAAAACTATTTGAAAAAATAGAAATAAAAGAATGGGAGTGAGTGACCTGTTCTAATTCATAATACCTGATAGAGTTTGGCCTTATTTTGGTCATGAACATAATTTACTGAGGAAAAGAAAATTAGCTGAAATTAGTCTTGAATTCTCCTGGACTCAATAAATGTGCTTCTGTTCTACTTGGAAACAAGGCACTAGTGTGTTGTGGTTTTTGTTTTGTTTTTAATGTCTTCCATTTAAAATTTGTATTTTGAAAGAGGTGTGGAATTTGTGAAAAAATTAGTACCATGAACTGCAGCGCGTTCTGAAACATTGACATTCCTGTACATGCAGTGCCAGCGAACAAACATAAATAAGGCTGAAATTATCTGCTCAAATTGGCAAGCCAAAAATGATTGATAACATAGTTTGGATATTAAAATGACAAATCCTGTTCTTCAATTAATTTTTCCCACTGTTAAATAGTAACACCCAAGATTTTTCTATTAATTCATCTTTAAAACCATTTAACAAGTCTCTACAGATGAAGGGAGCCAAGTGGGTGAATATATATATATAACTTGCATAAACAAAAATGAAATCCAAATGGTAAAGGATGAATGTGGAATATGTTAGAAGCAAAACTATTAAGAGATGGATCAACAAGAACAGAAGAGACCTGCTCTTTGGTTAGGGCTACAATCATCTGGATACCAAAGCAGGACATGGGTTCCACTGCCTGCTGTCCATCCACAGACATTTTCTATAGCAACTATGCATCCAGTGACTTCCTCTTACTTACTGTTTGGAAATCAATGCCAGATAATTGCACATTGTCCTGAGGTGCTGGGCTTTTCTGACAGGTCAAGGGATTGAGTCTCTGGAGTACATGAACTGACTGCATGACAGTGTCTCTGTTTGAGACAGCTCCCTATATAAGAACCATCACACACACGAGTTACATTTATCAGTGGCACAGGGCATGTCAGCACATTGTGGCAGTCAGTGGAGGGCGGGGAGGAGTTGGTGATGCAACAAAGCTCAGTGGTGAAAAACAGGACTTTGTCACCAAGGACTATTTCCAAAATATGGACATATGAGCCAAACATGGGATTTGCTATATTCTTAGAAACCCACTCTCAGCTGCTGCCTAACACTCAAGGTACCTAAATTCCATAAGGCACCTCAGTTTTTTATCTTAAAATTTCCCAGATGCATAAATTTCCACTTGTGCACATGCCCAGAAACACTTAAGTCTTGACACAGCTGAGTATTTTTGGCGTTTAGTTCATATCTACATTCAAACAGGATCCAGAAACTGGGAATTCCTCCACTTATCTCCCCTAGAGGCTTGATCAAATAAAACATCTGCAAAGCATGTGTAATGTACAGCAGTAGGATTAGGCCCTGCACAGGAACTGGAGACATCCACCATTTTTGTCAAAAAGGCTGTTGATGATGGTGCCCCCCACTCATTTGAGTTATTTATTTGATTTCTATGCTGACCCTCCCCACAAAGGCCCAGGGCAGAAGAGAACAGAATAAATTACAAAACAGGAGAGCAAAACAGCATAAAAGGCTAGAGTATCAGCATGAAAATGAAAACCCCATAACATCCCTACCTACTTTTGGTTACATGCCCAAATCAGAAGATTTTACAGAATTTCTTAAAGGTGTCTGGGCTCAGGCTCTGGTAAACCTCAGATGGAGCTCCAGAGCTAAGCAGCAACTGCTGAGAACAACCTCTCACAAGATTTTACCAAGCGGTCTTGGTGCACTAATGATAATTGAATGAGGTTGCCCTTGGCTGACCTTGGGGATCATGATGTGGCATGAGGGAGAAGGCCAGGGGTCACTGGTGCCACCTTACTCGGGGTGGCATGTGCCCCCACAGCAATCAGTCAGCAACCAGGGGAGGGGGTCCTCCCATGGCCAATCTCATTGACCAAGGCAGGGGATCCCCCACAGCCAATATCACCAGCCGGGGGTTGTCTCCCCGTGGCTGATCTCTGTGCACCCCCTACACATCACCACTGGAGAAGGTAGTCCCTTAGGACTTACGCAGTAGTTCACAATAAATAAACTATTAGAGACCATGATGTGGGAGATCTAGGGTCCATTCCCTCTTCAACCTGGAAGGGAGAGATCTCACTCCAGTCCCCATCCCAGTGACTGTAAATAATTTATTAAAAAGTAAGCATTAGAGCAGGGACTGGACTCTTTGGGCATGTCCCCATGAGTGCGCACATGCAGTTTGCAGTGCTGCAAAGTGAACATGCTGTACATGCTGGTGGTGCAAACTGCACATTAGCTGTACATGTACCTAATTAGCAGTGTGGTGAGGGTTTTTTTTTGACAAATGGGGTTCCCAGTATCAAAAAAACCCACACCAGGGAAAAGGGGAGGGGTGGCCTTCGTGATGGCAATGCGTGCTGCCCGAAACCGGAGCCTGGCCAGTAAGAACCATGCTGCAGCTGCTGGCCAGGCTCCGTGCTCTTGGATTGTTGCTGCTGGAGCCCTGGGAGGCCCCCAAGGACAAGCCCAGGTGCTGGCCCCAGGCTCTCCTACCCCACCCAGGCCAACTTGCCACACACCAGAGTGTGCGTGCAGAGGCTTTCCCTGGGGACAACTAGCAGCACAAATATGTGCTGCTGCTAGTTGTCCTTACGGAATGCACATTCCCTTTTCTGGGATGCACCCTTTGTCTTTCTTCTACTTGGTCACTTTCTTGACCATTAGTCTGTGACGCAATGTTCCACACACTGCCCCCTTGTCCCCACACACACAAGGGGGCTGGGGGCAGTGGGTTGGGCATGAAGGGCACTGGGTCAGGACTGGCCATTGATCTTTACAAATGAGTCCTGCTAGAAAAATGTTTGAGAACCACTTTCTAAGAGAATGAGATACTCAAGTCACTTAGTGGATGTAGCCTGTGTGCATTATAGGGTTCTTTGAAAATCCTAAATTGGTTGCTATTTGTTATAAGCAGCTTAATTTGTGAGAAGGCCAATTAGTGAGAAATAAACATAAATTAGGGCTATAAATTTATGGTGTTCTTGGTTTGAGGCTATACATTTATAGTGTTCTGGGTTCTGGAAACAGGAATGGGACTGCAGAACAAAAGAGCTCAGGTAAAATGAGATTAAATAAAAATTCAGTGATGAGAGTCAGCATAGAGTAAAGATGTATGACTGTGATTTTTCTACTACTTCAGTATAGATTATATTTTGTGGTAGGGGGATAAATTGCATACTCTTAAAAGTGTTTACTGTAATTTACCGAAATACAAAATGACTTCTAATTTAAGATGATCTCCCGTAATTAGATTTTATACCTGGAATATGATAAATGTATTATAATTGTCCATGCATAGAATCTAATTAGTTGAAGGTTGTCTTAAACTGCTGTAGTGTAGAGAACAGTTGTAGGCGGCCAGGGGCCAGACCCCCACCCTTTGCTCCCCTGCTCGTCCC